CTAAGCTTACCTATAAATACATTCAGTCTTAAACGTACCCTTAGCTGAGTACTTCGTCCCCTCAGACCAGGGACACGTGAACTGTCGTTCACTTAGAGTTTGTATACTCTTGGAAGCCTGCTTCCTCAGCGCAAGGTGCTGTGTGACCCCGTCACAGTTAATATCTCGACTCCAAACATGCTGTCGCCTTCTGGAGCAACACGGTCACATTAGCGAAACTCAGACCAAAGCTGGTGAAAACAGTTAACGCTGGTTTTCCCTTTGTAAACCACAAGAAGTCCGGGCGCTTGTCGTTCGAGTCGTATAGCCATTCACCTCCGACTATCTCACCATCAGTGTTCATTTTCAACAGGTACATATTGCCGATGTCTACAACGATTGTTTGCGTTGAACTCGGAGTCCACGGGTGCTAATTATTCTCTGTTGCTCGATTAATGGTTGATCTGTTTACACTAGATTTGTAGGAAAATGCTGCTTACTCTGAATGGCGGTTGTAGCTTCCTTGCACAGATGAGCAACATAATGTCAGTGCTGAAAAAAAAAAGTAACAGGGGGTAGCATTCAATGTATGAAGTACTGTTGATTGATTCAATGAATTTACTAGCGTGTCTTCCCCGTAAGAGGCGCTAAAGCTGGAAGCATATCTTCTCATTGGGTTCCAAGCGAATAAACTCGGCAAATTGCGTGAGCTAGTTTTTCAATTTGGTATTCTAACGAGTCTCCATGGACGAAAGCAACGCTCCAGATATACACTCCATCCGTTTCCGACACTCGACACCCTGCTACTTGACCGACACGATGCTCCTTATACGTCTTTTCATTGTTAGTGACGTCACTACAGGCCATTTTAATGATATACGGGATTCGTTTTAAACAAATCTATCAGGCGATCGACGTCATACATGTCAGATTCGCGCTGGAGGGGCCCGGCGAGTGCACGCGGCCGCCCAGGAAGCCCGCGCATCGGAATTGCCGGCTTGGTTAGGCCAATCTTTATCTTCCCTAGCAAGTCCAATGACACAATTACGTGTGCACAGGCCCAATCTGTGTACATGTAACTTTTGCAGGTGAAGCGCAGAGCATTACGAACCGCCTGGATCTGTAAAAAAAAAGCAAACCATTCATCTGAGTTCAACGTTATTGTTAAAGCAAATCAATACCTCACCTCATCACAGCTCCACTTAGCACGTAGTGCCAAGGAACTCGTGTCTTCAATCCGACTATCCTCCACGATGACATGCTGCATAGAGAGAAATTGCACCTCAGCCGTTTCGATGGACTCCTCTTCGCCTAGATTTCCCGTTAACGATTGCTTGAATCTATGACTTACAACACCGCCAGTTAGCTTAAATATAAGATAACAATTAGATTGACCTGCAATTTCGTACGCCCCGCCGTCACTTTAGCTTTGTTGCTTGTCTCTAACTGCACACACAGCCTGCTTCCTCAGCGCAAGGTGTCACACAGCACCTTGCGCTGAGGAAGCAGGCTTCCAAGAGTATACAAACTCTAAGTGAACGACAGTTCACGTGTCCCTGGTCTGAGGGGACGAAGTACTCAGCTAAGGGTACGTTTAAGACTGAATGTATTTATAGGTAAGCTTAG